GTTATGATTCAAATATATAAAATTCTAATACAAAAGTTAGAGGACTCTTCGAGTTTTTTGACAAAACGACTCTCATTTTATTGAGTTAATCGATAAACAAAATAAAAATCAACATCTATAGAATGCTCGAAAAAAGATCATGTCCATTTAGAAATGAAAACAAGTCGAAAAAAATAATCAATATCGTACCATACTCTTTTGACTTTATGAAAATAGTGGATATATATATGAAACTGAGAAAAACGAACTTCAGAAGAGACATTCAAATATCAAATATGTTTACTCGAAGAATTTTTCAAGTCGAAAATATTTTTGTGCGGATTATTCTGAAGATTTTCGAAGCGTGAGAAACGGTCAAGTCCTCCTCCCTCAAAAATTGATCTCAGGTCAGGAACGTTCGAATGGCATGAAATTTTCAGGATATGTTGTAGCTTAAGTAGGGAAGCCATGGTAAAATTTGTAGCGTTGCACCATGACGTTTGAGGAAGCTATTGGTCCAACAAGGATAAAAATAGCTCATTTCATCTCTAAAACTTCTCTGTAGTGTTCACTCTATACATTTAATATTTTTTTTTTTGTTTGAAAGAGCATGTCAGAATACAGTGCCTATGAGAGCCCTTTTTTTTTAAACTCTTACTTTGTAAGGAAAAAAAGAAATCAAAAGTTCAATAACTCAAAACAACTCTCTAAAAATTGCGCTCCAATTATATAAATGTTGATATATATAATAAAAGCAAAACTTAATGAAAAAAGGAGCTCTCATAGGCACTGCAGTTTTACATACTCTTTCAAACAAACAAAAAACTATTGGCTATAATGAAGCTCCTTCGAGAATTCTTGAAGACGCAATCGAAAATCTATAAAACGAGAAAAACTCAAGAAATTTTCGGTTCTTTTGAAAACACCTTATTTTTCGAATAGAAGATGGCGGAAATCTTCAAAAGTTGTTGGAAAAAACGAGATACCGAGTAAAAACTTTTGTCGCTTATGAGAGATCAGATCACAGGCTAGCTCTTCCGACGTTTATCTTAATTTCAGTCATTCTGACGAAGAGTAACTTTCTTGAGAAGAATCTTAAGAGTGTCTGAAAATTTCAGAAATCCATTTTTGGCTGTCCAATCAACCTTTGTGAGATTCAGTAGTCTCAAAAACCAAACAAGTGTCTCCGTCAATCTTTCCGGGTACCAAATCAAGTTTTTTATAATTAAGAATAGCGGGGACTCTTTATTTATAAAAAACAAAGATAAAGTAAAGGAATAAAGGATTCTTTTATCGAGCGATAATGATGTTGAAAGCGTTTTGGGACCATAGAACTTATGCTCAGAAAGATTTTTATCATCAAATAAATGTATTTGTGTTGGAAACAAACTAGTTGAAACATTATATGAACTTGTACTGTTTTCTAATATTTAGCAGATTTCGGTCACAAAAATGAAAATTAAATTAAAACAAATATCATATTCTGAATTAGCATAAAAAATGGACCTGACTTATGAATATTTGAAATATTTTTGAGATCTTTTTTTTTTTCATCCAAAAATTCACCCGTACTCCTCCCAGGATAGTTGGGTCAAAAAATGAATTCCGCGAAAACGCTGGTTTTCTGTTTAAGAGTGTGGGTGTGATCTACTATTCATCTACGCCCACATCGACATCCTTGTTTTCAACACAAATACATTTACTCGATGATAAAAAAAACACTTTTAGCATCATTATAACTCGATAAAAGAATCCTTTGTTTCTTCACTTTATCTTTATTTTATAAAGTAATGGTGAAGTACCACCCTAATTAAGAATTCCTTAGAATACCTCTACAGGTTCCGAAGATACTCATGATGGTGAGGTGTGGATGTGGATAAGGAGAAGACTGGCACCCATATCAACATTCACACCCGCTTATGTATTTTCTAAAAAGTAAAAAATGGTCACTTTGAAATGATTATTTAAGAAATCAAGCTAAATACAAAGCATAGTCATAATGTACACCATTTTAAGAAAAATTTCAACACAATCTCTTCTGGATTACAATATAAAACATGACGGAATCACTTTAATCGTACGAAAACTCTCGCCACATTTATTTCAATTCATGACAATGTCAACTGCAGTCTGTAGAATTCACGTCTCTCGCTGTATACTTTAACACTCATTAGCAATAATATTTCACAAAAATGATACATTAATAAGTCTTCTTGATTTGCTCTTTACTACTTTTTATAATACACCGTATTTTACGTAAAATTAATACTGTCCAATAGATATTGAGTACTCTTGTTAAGAAGAACATAAAAGCTTGCACTAAAATAATCACAATACTCGTTTTGTCATGAACACTTGAAGCCATCTGAATGAATATTGGTATAGCTTTAAATGAATACCAGAAAATGATCGTTCCATAGATAAGACGACATAAAATGAATGTGATCGCAAATAATTGAGTCAGTAAAGCACGTAAACGAACTCGTTGAGAAAAGATTATCTTAAGATTGAGTGGAATAGTCGAGAGTTCTTCAGCCAGAAGAAGGAATTGACATGAATGACCAACACGTGTATACAGTCCTATAAAAGACATTACTGTAGACAAAATAAAGAGCCGAATTTTCTTTTATTCTACTTCAAATAACAAACATATGAAACTGTTAATTTATGGAAAATGAACTAGTGACAGAACTACCAAGACTATTAATTCATGAATAAATGTGATTTTCACCAATTGATTCCAGTAGTTATTATCCATTGAAGAAGATATTTGCACAGCTCGCACTGAAAGCGATTTCTGTTCGATAAAGATATCATTTCAAGTAAATAAAGTTCGTAGAGAGAAACAATGAACAATCTTTTTCGTCTCATCTACTATCTGCAAGCCGATGCTTATTTGTACAGAATGTTCAAGAAGCCATTTACCAAAAATAAAACTATAGATTTCCATCATATTTTAACCAACTAAATTGTTTTTTTTTCTTGAAGATATACCCAAATTCCATGTTTTTATGTTTATGAAAAAGTTGAGAACTATTCTTCAATGTTATCGATTGTGATTGAAATATACAAATCTAGTTCGCTATATTTTTCCTCAAAGTATCGAAGCAGTAAACTAAAACAACCGTCAAGTGATTAGTACACTTGTTTAGTTTTGACAGAAATATTAGGTTTTTAGTGAATGATCTTCTCGGGGAACCTACGGGGAAAAATGTGAACTTCAAAGCATTTTAATTCAAACTAATTCTAGAAATCTGGTTAAACAATAAGAAATGAAGAAAAATCTTGTGGAATTTGTAAATACGTAGGAATCTGAGTCCACTATTTTCCTTTAGCAAGATACAATGTCCAATTATATTGTATTTGGAATTTTGTTTTGAAACTGTATTCTCATAAATTTTACTTACCAAAGCAAACGGCTCATCTAATTTTTTCGATTCTTTCTCCATACTCTTCTGTTTGGGCTCAAAATTATATCATAGGTACATCTGTTGTTGCTCTAACTACTCCAAAAATTTCAGTCATGAACAGTCAGAAAACAGATGAAAAAAATGGCAAATCTGTCTTATGCACTTCAGTGTGAATGAAACCCAAATTTTGTTTTTAAAGTTGTCTTAACGATTTTCTAAGTTGGACTTTTATTCTTACATGATATACTGACGCACAGGTGACATGCAATAAAAATGGTGACATATTGGATAATGTCCCTATGTTTCATGACTAATTGCTAGGTTATTTTCTTCAAGAGTTGTGCGCATTTTCCAGGTATCCCGGCATAAGCCACATAGCCTTAAATGATCCTAAAATTTGTCAAGGCATGGATAATCAGCTACCCTGAGTTTGATGACGATGATGTCTGGATCGTTTACTATGATATAAATTTGAAACAATGAAAGAATAATTGAAAGACAAATTAGATCTACAGGTTAGTGTGGACAAAGGAAAAGATCTCACTCAGACTAGCTTTTATACCAAAAATCATCATTTTTAGACATAGTCTCTTTGAGATATTTTTTTTTTCAAAATTTAGGTTCGTTCTCATCGATATCGGATCAAAGAAGGATATTTTCCAACACTCACTAAATACTAATATCTTAAAACAGTATTTGTACATTTCTTCATGAACATAAGAACTTGAAACATCACTCTATCTTCAGGAAACAAGTCAACGCATTTGGTTAACGCATAGCGAAAATATACAATATTCTCGTTCGTAGGTGATTTTCTGAACATCATGTATATTTTTGATAATATACAAAACAGTAATTGATCAGAATTATTCGAACATTTGCTAGATGACAGCTGTTGAAATCTCATCAATAATTGAACTTTTAAGACAGGTAGTCATTTTGATGTAATGTCCTAATTCTATGTGTTGGATCCGAATATTCATTTTTGGTTCTAATCTTGACTGAATACAATTCTTTTTCTATCTATTATGTTCTTATTCGATTCTGCACTTATTCATTCATTCTTTGCAAGCTCCAGTAGTTCCATGGTCGACAATTTTAATGTAGCATATTTAGTTTCGAACAAATATGAGCAAGGTGAATTTTACTGTCACATGCACAATAGTTTAGATTTAATGCAAATTCTCCAATCGATACTACCAATCTTGATTCTATTTCGAATACTTCAACATTAATTATGCATTCTGTTCATGTCTATTTCCAAACTTTCATAAAGAATAACGAAATAATGTTTGAATATATATTTCTACTGGACAAATGGTTAATATTTTACATTGAATGCGTATAAATATTAACGATTGGAAAAGTATTGTTCTTCTAGATAACACACTATGTTCTATATAGGAAATATTCTTACAGATTTATCCGTTTTAATCGTACACGAAGACGCTCTCTATACTGATCACGATTCGTAACAGAATGCAAAGGGAAATATGTAGAAAAATCTGTCACGATCGGTGGAGAAGGAGATAGATTCAACTTTCTCGCTATATACTTCATTACTCATTAACACTTGTGTTTCACGAAATAGCATCGATGTCATTTGTATAATTAACCTGATGTCGTTCCAGCTGTAAGGAGTATATGATGAACTAATGCTGATGAACTTCGAACCGATTTGAATAGTAGCATAATGATTGTGTCGTAGATAAAATAACCAGCTGAATAACACACACTATATGTGATCATTTCATCGTTTGTACCTTTGATACCACCACCAAGTATTCGATTGACTTGTGTCAAAGTAACTGTCGAACGTAGAAAGAATATACATACAGCAAGAACAGATGCACAGGCATGAATAGTCGATACAATATAACTTTTGATTAATGGTGTCATAGATGATGGAAGAAAAAAGAATATAAGACTGTTTAAAGCGATTGAAACAAAAATCAATAACGATATTGGAACATCTGATGAAGGATTCGTCCCAAGATCTATACATGAATATGAAGACATACACTACTGCCGAAAGATGATGATTTAAAACACTTACATTGGGCATGAACATCGTCGTCAAACAACATTTATAATCAAATAAGGTATTCGTTTGCTTCTTATACTACACGTGAGAATGCTTCTTAGGTTTTATAGAGACTCTACTGCAATGTAAAAGATAAGAACGAACAAAACTGAGAAAAAAAAAGATATTATACTCCATTTTGTATGTAAAACGAGCTAAATAGTTCGACAATGTCAAACCACTTTAATGGAGTCTACATTCTTCTCTGTAATGCTGAAAATATTCATCACTAAAACTACAAAACTATGTATATATGGTGTGAATTATCTCGAAATGAGACTATTAGGTTTCAGCTATGATTCGAACGACATTGTCATTCTACTTCCGTATCCTTAACGTCCAATTCAGAATACACTGAAGAGGAATCAAATTGGAAATAATTTTCGTTGGACAAAGTTCGAAATCGCTGATCACTACTAGATATCAATGGAACTATTCATATTTACATCACTGTTCAAATCTTTATTATCATCATCATCACGAAATTTTTGCTTGATCGGTCGCATGTTCGGAGAAATAACACTATGAATTTGTTTTTTAAAATGGGATTGACTTATATGTGTGTAAGGTGTGATCAAGCTGAGATAGTACCCTAGGGCAGTCAAATTGATGACCTAACTGTAATGGTTAACAGAAAGTATCCATAAAAAAATGCATGCAGTAGATATTGCTCTTCAGCAATCAGTAAAACAGTTCTAACTTTTGAATATCTTCTGGGACTAGAAATAAGGAACTTTGTTCATGTCTAATATTATTGAAACAATTGTTTGGAATGGGATCATATAATATTATCTAAGAAAAAGAAAAAGTCTATTGAATTATCAGAGATATTTTGAAAAGCAGTATGCTGGTTGGTTTGCGTTATTTTTATGAAAATAATCAAGCAATCTTGTAGTAGTACGGTAATGTAAAAACTGCAAAAAGAAGATGATCTAAGAACCGGCTACAGTATAAAACACTAGAGATAGCTGGAGTAAATCAATAATATTTTTTAAACATTTGTCCTGTTTGCTTGACAAGTTCTAGTGGTCAACTACTCAAAAATACTTTCATACAATATAGCTGTGAGGGTATCCTCAAGACCGACTTTCGAATTCTTGATTCACGTCGATGGAGTTAATCAATAACCCGTTGATGTCATCGGGATATATGAGAGAATTTTCATATTCTAACAGTAATTGTGTCATTGCTCGAACATCTTTCAATCTTAAAGTATTATTGTCACGTAAATAACTTAAATCAACTATTCGAACGAACACCTCTTACTCGAAGCCTTTACTTATTATTGAGTAATCGTAATGATGTTCAACAACTAGTACCATCGATTCGATCATTTCACTTTTTTGAAGTTCTATGACGTACGATCATGATATTTAATGTTCAATCTTCTTCAAAACATGTCTAACTTGAATCGTTTGATCGTTGAGACGAATTATATCAAATTGGATGGACACCAATAGGAAAACATCATTGTCAATTATTTACCAAAGCTAAGTGATTTTCGATTAAAAATAAGAACTCAGTGCCATAAAAAGTTGAATACCGAACAATAAATCAATACACTTTTCGACTCATTTCGAAACCACTTTCGGATCGAAGAACATCAATGGTTTGTTCGATGCCATCGAAAAGCACAGGACGATTGCAGTGATGCATTTCTCGATGCTTTTCCTCGAGCATTTGCGGAATTAAACGTAGACACAATTAACATTTCGTTTAAATCGATCTGTCTCTACGATGAGAACTAGCCATCCCGGCAGATTTGAAATCTCACTTATATATGAATCATTCCTAACAATGGACTTGACTCTTTCTCAAATTCATTTTCTTAACATTCGACACTTGTCCGTCTGCCTTCCATTGAACCAATAATTTTGGACTGCTGTGAAGAATCTCAATCAACTGACATCGTTATCTATCGGTTCCACTGATGATAATGTCGGTGATTATCTTCAAGCCTTTGATGAAACAGAAGATATTCGATATAACACAATCAAAGAGATACGTAGAGCGTCTTGTATAACAACTCGTTCTGCAAATTGACCAGCTCAGTTATTAACTAAGACCGCTGTTTAAAGTCATTTGACAGATGTCTTGCCGTTGAAGAGAGGTCGAAATGCAATTACAATAAGAAACAATTTAATTTTTAATTGATAAAGTTAATAGAAACGAATGATTATTATTATAGACTTTTCAACTCAATTGATGTGGAAAAATTACTTAGTTATTTTATTACTATTCATCATGAAATAGACGAATATGATAATCAAAAAATAAGAATTTTAATGATAATTTCGTTGACATTAGGATAATGAGCGAAGTAAAATGTGTTATTGCTTTCGTAAAAGCATGATTTTTCGATGATATCACTAAAAGAACTTCATGATTTGATAAAAGACCAAATACGACATACTCATGTACAAATACTTTAGAATCAATTTTCAAAAGAAAAATAATTTATATTTTGGGTGTGGGTGAGGGCGTTCGCTTGCATGTGTGAACGGGACGTCTGCACATTCCACACGCTTTAAGTGAGAAGAAAAAGAAAAAACATCAAAGAGATGAAAAGATCAACAAGAAGATCTCTAACGACAAATAAGCTATATAGTATGTAGTCACTTTTTATACATGTTTGTAGTCAAAAAGTGAATTTGGAATATGGTTCATGGAATTGAATAAGAGAGGAATTTAAAAAATAAGAATAGAATGAACCATATTGAATTATTCTAAAGTGGAAAACTCTTCATACGCATTAATTCAGCACAAACTAATTGATATAGGTAATCACCCAAATCCTGTTCATTTTCTGGCCTTTCGCAACTTTTGTAGAGACAGAGTGCTTGAGAAAAACACTTGAGAGAGTAATATGGATGATTATTCATTTTCTGATGTAGAAAACCGAGTTGAGACCATGTTTGAACTATTTGTATATTGTCTGATGCATAATATTGTTGCAGAAAAGCAAGTTTTCTCTTGAGAGATTTCATTGCATTATCATATTCGGTAATATCGTTGTATAAACAATAAAGTTTTTTCATACAATCCAATGTCGTATTTTGCAATTCATACGACTTGCAATTATATAATTCTAATTTACACAAAGCAAGTCCATAGTAAGCTATTTTGACTAATGATTGCGTTTCTTCACATAGATCACCCATACAAATTAGAATGTTAGCAATATTTGGATCATCCTCGTCTTCACCCAGTGTATGAATTCGTATAGTCAGCATTTAATTTAAAAGCCGAAACGTTTGTTCTAATGTGTTCTCTGATCCGAATTCGACGATACGAATTTTCAATGTTTTCATTAATGAACGAAGATCAGAAAGAAAATTGTCTTAGTTTTCATAAGATAAATGGAGTTTGTTCGAAGCATCTCGCTTATAGCAGTTCAATCCTTCATCAAATTTACCAATTAGATCATTGACATGACCGATGCATTCAAGTGTAGCAGCTCGTCTTACATGCATTTCATCCAATTTCCATATGTCTAATGCTCGGTGTAAACAGTCAAGACTTTCATTTAAATTTCTTACATTGATATATGTCTCACCCATATTATGCCACAGCATTGCCATATGTTCGCTGTTTTCTTGATGAAAAACCATAAAATAAATCACGAGCAAGCATCAAATATTGCAATGATTAAGACCATTTTTTTCTTATGATATGCACATCCAAGTTCATTATAAACAACAGATAAATCGGGATGATCGACGGGTAGTTTTTTTATGAGTGTTTGAAAATATGTTACTCCTTTATCAACTAGTTGATGTTCATACCATAGAACATGACCATAGTAGGTCAATGGCGTATACAATTTTCTTTCTTCAGTTGCCGCTAATTGTAGATATTCATCCATATATTTCGTTCTGTCGTCGGTTGTTATCATTATCACTTTCCACACTTGAAATACATCATCAAAATCAATTGATTTAATTTTAAAAATAGTGTTCAAACTAAAAAGAACTTCTCGTTCACTATTAAAGCTACTTTCAGTTTCAATTGGCGCAAAGACGGCTGATTTGACGGATACATCAGCTTGAATTTCAAATAAAACAATGCACAATGATTCTTCGCATGATGTACCATATCCAGCAAACACAAGCGCCACATCAACATCGAATGAAGTTGATAGAAAACCATTTGTCGTTATGTAACTACCGATATTTTTTCGAAGAGAATTCAATTCCATTTTTGACATTTTTTGACCACGAAACAATGCTAGTTTTGTGTTCGGTGGTAGTTTTTGTTTTTCAGTTTCCAATGCATTACATAAAAGGATAATGTAGAATCTAAATGCGAAAAGCCACTCGGGGTCTTCAGTGCGCAAGACTCGATTCAACAGACGAAAGAGAAAGCAATTGCTTGTATACCATTGAATAGAATCCTCGGGTATAAATGTCGCACGAAAACGCTCAATCATTATTAAATCATGTTTACTGTGGAAATAATATTTTCTACATGTATCAATGAAGTGTTCTTTAGCGTAGTCATCCGGTGACATACGTTTTAGTATATTGAGCAGCACAGAATGAAGAATAAATACAACTAAGGTGATCGTGCGTTCAGTCAAATCCCTCATTGACTGTTGCCGTTCATCAATCACAGTAAATTGGAATGTTTGCCGTCCGATAAGATCCATCTTCTTAACAATGGCTGATCGTAAAGATTCCTGTTCTGTATGAACCTCAACAATTTTATTATATTGAGAAAATAATGATGTATAGTTATCATCGTCTTCACAAAAAACGAATACCCATTTCAGTGATTGATAAGAGTGTATATCGGCCAGAACCGTTGACGCATATAAACCAGAAACAATTAAGATAATATGTGTATTGTTGTCTGCCGATTTAATGTAATCGATGCATTGATCAGTAACAGCAAAGTAACTAGTCGAATAACTCAATCCGGTAAGCATTTCTTTCAAATCTCGTATGTTTATTTTTTTGTTGATGACACCAGTGTCATCGGCATACAATGGATGACACCATACCAAGTGAAAGTTTTCGATGTTTTGACAAACCTTGAACAGATCGAACAGTCTCTGGCCATCATCTTCAGTCACTATTGCCTCTGTTGCTGCTTGCTCCATTATGAAAAACCGTAGTGTTTGAGTCTTTTCTTTTTCACTTTTGCACACTCAGTATGGTAAACGTTGCATAGTTGCCGATGAAAGAACGATTTTTTTTTTTTTCTTGAGTAGGTAAGGAGGCAACTAACAGATAGAATGCGAAAGCAATTCTTGACAAGATGGACGTGAAGCAAAAATAAGTAAACAGAATCATATAAAGCATCGAGCAACATATTCACACAGCTATTCAGCAATAAGAAATGCAAAGCTCAAACTTCATTTTTCTTTTTCCTACAGATTGTCAGTGTCTAAAACAAAATTGATGGCAAAAAGAAACTTACTTAATTCATACGAATCGATAGTCTCTGTACGATCTATACAATCGTATTCTGTCGTGTTACCTGCCAGATGATTCATGGTTGCATATCGAGTGTGGGTGCAGGTGCTAGTTATCCCTCCTTCACTACTCACATCCATACCGACGCCCACACTCTAGTTTTTTTCTCTCAAAACAAATATGAATGTATTATATGTCTGGTACATCGATTTTGGCTGAGTAAGTTGTTACAAATTATTTTTTCTTTTTTTAATTAAGGTAGTTAAAGTGAGTAGATTTATTTTCTATAATACATTCGAATTTCAATAATGACTTCTTATTTTGTAAACTTGTAAATTAGTATATACTTGACTTAAAATTTATCGCATGGTAAATCGACGAAACCTAATTATTTGTAGTCATTTCTTGTTTTCTATGAAACACAATACGACGATCTATGTATTTCATTTGCCAGGCATTTTATGTCATGCGAATGAGAAGAATTTTTCGATTTGTTTTTTTTTAAACTTGGGTACCTACACTCTAGTAGTGAAACCAACAAGATATCTGAAATCTATTGAGTAGTATTTTCTTTTGAATCATTTTTTTAATATCCAAATATGAGATTCACTATACACACACACATAAGACTTCTCTCCGTTTATTATAACAAAATGAATAAGTATAGATACAGATTAGGTAACAACAAATATTAGAGAATAATATACGTAATGTATGTAAGCAAAAACATCTATTAAATTTATGCGAGACAAATTACAAAAGAGGAAAAAACATGTACGTAATAGAAAAGCTAACAAATCAGAACATTAATAAATATTAAAGTTTTCCTTATTATGATTACAATGAATAGCTTGGATTTAGATATTTCTTGACGATTAGAATTTATTTAAGATTGTAAAACATCTTTTTAGCTAGTGAGAATGAACTTTATATTTATAACATGAAATTAGATGAAGTCTTAAAGCAATGATGTGCTCTTACCAATCACGATTTCTCATTCGTCTTAAAACGAATAAAATTTTTATGTTGACAAGCCTACATAAGGTAAAACATCGAAACAAAAAAGTGCTCTATAGTTTATGAATCATCAAGGGTTCGTTGCGCTTTTTAGTCACCTTCCTTCAAAAAATATTTAAATTAAAAAAGAACCTTTATGACGAAAAAACTCAGTCATTGGTTGTACAAAATAAAAAAAAAATCTTCTTTTTTTCTTCTTTTCATTAACGATCAAAATGTGCATGTAGATGATTGTTAATTAAATTTGGGTATTCGCTAAGGAAAAGAAAACCACACGGATCCTGACACTGACTACCGACAGTCACAGCAGCGCCTCGCACCTATATCCATCCGCTGATTTATATTATTTTTCACTCTTCTTGTAAGCTCTTCCGATAGTAACAAATGAAAGCATCATTTAAAAAACTGTCATTGCCAGCTTTCTTGATTTTTCAAAACAAAGGAATTTATGATACTATGTTTTGCGACTCCAAGAGCGATTCAGTTTTAGTCAAGCAGAGATATGACAGAGGTCACTGTCGTACAGGTGCTCTCTGTCTTGTTTAAGCACTTTGCTACTGATTAGCGTATTCAGTTGGCCTTTTGCTTTTGTGAAGATAACTGTTTGTTACGTATATCTTTTTCTCATTCTTTCCCTTCGGTGTGTGTAGATACACATAGTACAGTTAGTATGCTGGTAATCAGTTAGTCTACTTCTATTTCAACTATTTCTCTTACGTGAGAACAACATCGTAAAATACTCATAGAAGTGTAATCAAAACACTTTTGGATACCTTTTTGAATTTTCTTTTTCTAGTAAAATAGTAGAATACCGTAATAATACATCCCTATAAACATCTGTCTTGTCGTCTCGTTATGGGAAGAAAAAGAACGAAAGAAAAACAATGCAACTAGTAGAGAATGAGGCTGCTCCAAGTATGCACGTCTAGGTTTTCGACCATCTTGTTCTCTGTAAGATACAGATATGGTCGTTACGAAAATCAAAGTAATTGTTATCAAGAAATTAGATATCGTTTCTCAGCCAGTTCTTCAGAAAAATATTCTTCTTAGATCAAATTATATAGAACTTACTTAGCTCTAGAACAAGGTTATTCTCGTTTTGTTGATTACATATCTCTCTTAAGACGCGTGTTATGTTCTTCATCTAGTTCAGATGTGGTTATAAGATACCTCCCTATCATCATACGTTTCTCTTTATTCTCGTTTACTTATGTGTTCGATTCTTTTTCTTTTCTTTTCTGTTCTGTCATATATGATGGATTTGTCCTTTCCTTTTTTTCTTCTTTCTCTTATGTTGTTCTATAGATTTCTCTAACTTATGGATCTTTTCCATCTTATGGATTTTTCCCTTTTCTTGTGATGCTATATATAGCTGTTTACTCGAAGTGGAAAGTGAGATTTTTTAGAGAGAAACAAGGAAAATAAACTAGAAGTGGGATTAAGATCTCACAACGAGGTGTGTTTAAACTTCCTAAAAAGTAAATTACAGAAATTACTGAAATTTCCATCTATCTTATATCTTGAACATATTCATCTACACATATAGAAAGAATAAGACCCTACCCCAAGAATCATCAGAAATTTTAGAAATTTCCTGGTAATTTTTAAAATTTCTTATGATTCTGGGGACAGAGCTTATTCTTATAATATTTTTAGATAAATATGTACAAGTAATAAAATATATGGAAATTTCATTTTTTGGAAACTTGAACACTGCTGCTCAAGACCAGCAATATGTTTTAGGCTCTACTATCATGTTGTAAATGTACTAAGGTTTTGTTTCAGATATATACTGTACTTGCTAGAAAACAACATTAAAATATCTTTTAGAAGAACAACTAGCCCGTGGCAATTTTATACTCTTATCCTGTATGTAAGCAACACCTATTTAACAGTAAGCGCTTACATCTAACGTCGTTGTTAAATCTTTCGGGAAAGGATGGCTTGTGCCGTTGACAATAGTGATAAAAGAATTGCTGAAATTCTCCAAGCGAACAATACTATCAAAAAATCAATATCAGCGATCATTCAAGAATATCTAGATCTTCAAAATCGTTTTTTTGACAAAGTTGGCAGTGTTATTCAAAACCTAGAAACAGTTCAAAGTGTCGCTAATATATTTCTTACTGACGAACAAAAGACACTTCTCAAGGAATTCAAACCAATCGAAGGAGTTCAACTGGCTATTTGCGGCTACAACTCAGCCGGAAAAACAACATTCGTACATGAGCTTCTGGCATGTGGCAATTTTTTGCCTACAGGCATTGGTGCAGTATCAGCACGTATTATCAAATTTTCTTATGCTCCTGCTAACGAAGCGTGCTTAATTAAGTATCAATCACAACTCGATCCAAACGAACCAGAAGAGATAGTGGAGCTTTCATCTCATTTTGTAGGCCCAAAGAGTAAAGCTAATACCAAGCTACTGAAAGAAACTATCAAAAAACACGTTGCCAGACCAGAGATTGATTGCATGTCAGATGAATTTGAGAAATGGGCATCACATTTAATTGAAATTCGAATTCCATCTCGTTTTCTACAATATGGAATCGATGTTTACGATACACCTGGATTTTTGGGTAACGATCCACCAATACTGGCTGAGAATTTACTCAAACTTGTCTCCTCCGTACGACCATCAATCGTCTATCTCTATGACAATCCAGTGGTGTCTGATGATTCTCGAAAATGTTTTGAACAACTTCAATTAGCTCTTCGTCATCATTTTCGTGGTACTGCTATCTTCTTTCTTAACACAAAAGCTGATGTATTAACAATTCGAAAAGATGCCGATGATGATGATGATGATGACGATGATGAAAATGATAACTTGAAAAAAAACGAATGTGAAGATCGTCTCTTGAACAGTGAACGAAAACAACGATATAATCTTCTACTCACAGTCAATGAAATGAATAGCGCTATTTTGGGAGGCAAACACCTTCCAATCGATCAATACGATTGTTTCGATATATTCAGTTCACAAGGTTCAACCGATTCGATGGAAATTAAAATGAAAACACATGCTATCAATAGTATTGTTCGTTTTGCTGCCGAACATGATTTGCGTAGTACAAAACAAATCATTAGTATTGTATTAGGAACAATCGATGATTTCTTTGATTTTGTTCTTATTACCAATCGACGATCACCAACTGAGTGGACGACAATGTACGTTCATACCTATCAATGGATTGATGAATACTTTGCCACATATCAATCACATATAGACGAGATTGCCAATGAAGCAAAAATTCTCTTACCGATCAAATTTAGTCAACATTGTGAAGATATAGAAAAACGTGCTATACCACATTGCGTCACGACATGGTGGGAACGAATCTATGCTAGTTCACTTTCCAGAGATAGTATCGGTTTCCTATCGTCTTCCGCTGTAATTGATTACATCAATATGGCTGTGGAAAAGGAAGTGATTACACCTGTTTTGCATGAGATTACATCTAAAATCAGCAAGAACGCAAAAGAGCAAATAGATCGAACAAAGAAACCAACACAAAGTACTAAAAATGAATTATTGATGGCAGCATATCGAACAGTCATGATGAATAGTGAAGGAGAAGAATATGGCTCTTTTTACACTCAGTCTTCCTTTAGGATAGGAACCGTGATTGGACTACTAGTTGCGTCGCCTGTAATACTAATTAATGGAAGCTTGAACTATGGACTTCGAAAATATCTGTCTTTTTTAAATAAAAAATCCAGAAGTGGTGTCGATTCCAGAATTCACAAAATAGAAGAGAAACGAAAGGCAGACGTGCGTGAACATCTCCTTGACTTGAAGGAAAACCTGAGAGAGATCGACAAACAAATAAAAGAGAACATGCAAAAATGGTTGGAGAAAAATCGTGCTGATTTCCGTAGGAAAGTCGATGACTACTTTTTACTTGTGCGTGAAACTCTCGAACAGCGTCAAGTAGCGTACAAGCTCGCTCGTGAATTCGCTCCTCTCTTTGCTCGAATTGAATGTTCTCTAGTGGCCAATCTTGACTTGGCTAATCATCATGGACTACCTCTTACTATTCAACGAGATACCGTGCTGGGTACAGGTGGCTTTTTTACTATCTATCTAGCTATATGGGGCTCAGAGCAAAATCTTGTCGTCAAAGAACTCAAAGATCCAATTGCTGATCAAGATATTGCCTGCTTAGAGGCTCATTTCCATCGCACAGTAACTCGTCTTCAAATTCCGCATATGGTTCCTCTTGAATACTTGTACGAGACCGTCAAAGATCCACGACAATTTGTAATTGTCTTGCGACGCTATCCGAAAAGCTTACATTCGCATCTGATGACACACATGCAAGAAATATCAATAGATAAAGCTCTTCAAATTTCACTCGATATTTCCCGTGCCATTGCTCTTATGCATAGCTATGAACTTGTTCATCGTGATGTCAAAGCTCAAAACATTTTACTTGATGCGAATGATCAAGTTTATCTAGCTGATTTCGGCACCTGTCAACATGGAACAGAAAATTCAACCTTCATCGGATCTCGACCTTTTGTTCCAGAACTCACTACAGGTGACCATCAATATTCGTATCAAGGATCAGCTTTCGATGTCTTCTGTCTTGGTATACTCATGTATGTTGTTGCTCCAAAAGACGTTTTCCATCAACCCCGCACTCTGGCCGAAACCGATGTCAATTCACTCGATCGAAATCGTGTACCCGACAGCTATTCTCGTTTGATTCTTCGTTGCATTAACACAGAACCTATACTGAGACCCAAAGCAAACGAAGTCGTAGAAGAACTCGAACGAATTATTAATACAATAGCTTATTCAAAACCGTGTCTTGTTTGTTTGGACGCTCCACGCACCATCAGATGTTTACCTTGCCAACATAAGACAATGTGTACAACATGTCTAGCTGCAGCTCAACAAGCTAGTGAAGAACCACAATGCATCATCTGTAGAGACATATTCACTAGCGTCGAAGAGGATGCAGATCCCAACACCTTCATAGTTGCTAGAACACCAACTACCGTCATTCAATGAACGTATCGAACTAGACTTTCGATGAACTTCTTGATGAATATTTGGAATCATGAAACTTTTATTCACAGACTATGTTCTTTATTGTAAGACAAGAACCATACAGTTTAGCTGTACTTATAAAAGATAAAATATAAATTCTTAGTTTAGCCGCATCATTTTCAGATAAAAAAAGCTGCTAGCGCAATCCCTTGCGGGATTAAAAATGTGAAACACGATTTATCTGTTGTTACTAGTTAAATGGAAATCATTTTATTCCATTTCTTTGCGATACATTTGTAACTAACTGTTTATCTGATGCTTTACAACCACAGTTTGTCTATCACGGTCTATGATGGTTCCAGACCCTGTCTGTCACGGTCTGTGATGGGTCCAGATCCTGTCTGTCACGGTCTGTAATGGGTCCGGCGGTTCTCTGCCACGATCTATGATGGGTAGTAGGGTTTCTCTGTCACGGTCTGTGATGGGTATTGGGGTTTCTCTGTCACGGTTTGAGATGGTTATGGAATTTCTCTGTCACGGTCTGTGGGGGGGGGGGGGGGGGGCAAGTTTCTGCCCCTCACCCACACCACACTCCTTTGTGGTTCTTTTTGTCAAAATGTGGGT